TGTTCACTGGCTGTCTCATTTTATTCTAGCCACACTATTACCATTGAAGCCTACGAAAACTCCAGATATTGGAACTGAACCTTGGCTGTTCCCTCTGTCTGAAAAGCTCTGTCCTCCAGATATTTCCAGGCATTTCCTTCAAGCCATAGCAGAAATCTCCCTTTTTAACAAGTCTTATTCTGATGTCCCTATTTAATATAGCATCAGGACAACCCTCACCTCACCTATATCCTTTACCCTATTTTATGTTATTCCCCAAATATTTTACCCTTCAAAGTCCTACATAATTTATTACTTACATTTATTGTCTATCCCATTCTTCTTCCAGATCCTCTCCTCCCATTGGAATGCAAGCTCCAAGAAAGGAGGGATCTTTGATTTCTTCACTGATGTGTCATAAGAATCTTCAGCACATAGCAGGCACTCAATAAATATTTTTAAAATGAAAGTAATTTCAGTTCAAAGTGATTTTCTGACAACACTCTGAAAAATGCCATACAACCCTGTAGCCATTAATTATTTTTCTTTCTTAATGTCTCAAAATGCAGATTACCAAATTTTCCTTTCCTTTGAAACTGAGAAGTGATAAGAAAGATGCATGATGACAAGCAAATTCCTGCTTCCTTGCTGATGCTCCCTATGGGTGCCAGGCTGGGGCAGCTGTCCCCTACCTAGCCTCATTTCCCGTAGAGCTTCTTAGGGCTGCATGTCCAGTTTTCTACCAATGCTAGTTCTGTCTTTGGAGGTTTTCTGTGAAGAGTTTTTTGATTACTCTATTGCCCTTACATGCAAACAACTGGAAATTGACTAAATATGGATAGCATGTCTGGGATATAGATATAAAGTATGGGTTATAAATGAGATTCACTTGGAGGAGAAAAGCCATGCAGCCTTCTGGAGAAAAACCCCCAATCAGTAAGCCATTGGGACTGACCACAGAACAACCAACCACAATAGACAATGCTTTCTATAAGTCCTATGTAGGTCAGGCTCTGGAGTGGCTGGTGCTGATTTGCCCCAGAGCTGCAGTGGCTTCCCCTCTACTCAGGAGGCTGAGGCAGGAGGATCGCTTGAACCTGAAGGGCAGAGGTTGCAGTGAGCTAAGATTGTGTCACTGCACTCCAACCTGGGCAATGGAGCAAGACCCTGTTTTTCTCTGTGACACACACACACACACACACACACACACACACACACGATTCTTTCCAGCAGAGAGGATGTCACCTAGTTACACATATTCACAATATTTTTACTTTACTTCAACTCAATGCAGGCTATCTTCTTTCCATCTTCATGCCTCTGAAACAAAGTAATTATTTGAAATTTGTCAAATTTTCACTAAAACTGTTTTCAGGGATCCTCTTTGATGGTGGGATCTAATCATCAAAATGGATATATGTCTGCAGGGTTTTCCTTAAAAAAATATTTTAAATAACTACCGAAGTATCTTAATATCCCCATTATTCTCTTTAATCTAGTCTTTTTCAGAGGTATTTAAGGTTTCAACTACATTCATTCTAGTGAAGCAAAATGCTGCCTGCTAGTTGCCTTGCTTAGTTTCTGGGAGCTTGGGCAGCTGCTGTTGTGTTTGTTGAAGGGAAATTGGATTCTTAAAGAAACTGCTTAATTTTCTCTGTTAAGCAATTAAATAAAATGGTCTCTGGGAGTATGTAGCAGGTGGGTTTGAAAGTGATAAAAAATTCAAAAAATCACATTTTACATGTTAAATGGATGTTTAAAATGCAGTTGCATACATTTAATAGAAAATGATGATTGGGACAGTTTTTTAAAATAAAGGCTTCAAGTTAAGTCAAAAAAAAAAAAAAAAAAAAAAAGGCTGGATATTAACCTATACAATGAAAGAAGAAGTTCCTTAAGTGGAAGTAGGCCCTGAATTTAAATGAGATCAACCTAAAAGAAGGACAAAGTGAAACTTATGCCAAGTTGTTCAGATATTTCTCCTCTGAGAAAAAAAAATCACTTAAAAAAATGTATCACCGCTTTATTTTGCAGAGTTGCCCTTTACGGCGGCGGCGGCACTGTAGCCATTGCATGGGGACCTCAAAAATACACTGATTGTAGGTCAGGATGAAAAACAAAACAAAACAAAACAAAAACGAAACCAGCAGCGCTGTTCTCGCAGGCATTTACGGGGCTGCCCTTCCTTTGTAATGCATTCATTTTTAATGAAAAGAGAAGGGGATATTTTATATGTCCTGACATTTGGTCCCTTTCCGAGAAATCTGAAACTCGAGACACAAAACATTCCGCAGTTGCTGGTGAAATACCTGGTTTAAAAGCAGAACCACAGTTATGGTCTTTGGCCCGGAATTCCAGAGACTCATTTCCACGCCTCCCACGGAGTCACCTGCTCAGGGGGAACCCCGGCCAGAAAGCCGGGTCGCGCCAGGTCAAATCTTGCGCGTCTCTTGTTTACTCCGCCCCTGGCAGGGCGGCGGCGCTGCCCGGGGGTGGGGAGGACCGCTGGGGCCCGCGGCGCCCCGGGCTCTCTGCTGGGCTCCGTGGGGTGCGGGGGCTGGGGCGCCCGGGAGAGTCTGCGCGAGGTCCTCGCTCGGCCGGGAGACCACCCCGGGGAGGCGCTCCGGGCGCCGGCCCGGCCCCACAGTCATTCGTCGCGCCCCGGCACAGTGGCGCCCTGGGAACCTCCCTCGAAGATGCACACCAGTCCACACAAACAGGGTTAACGGTCCGACGGAGCCCCGGTGTCCCCCGGGTGTCACCTGGCCGAGGAGGAAGCCCAGAGCTTCGGCTCCCACTCGCCTGGGATTCCACCGCCCCCCCTCTTTTCCCCCAACCCCGGCCCAGCTCTCCCAGGGCTGGGTGATATTTCAACTCTGGTCCCTTCCGTGGAGAGGGAAGCGCACAGGCTGAAGGTGGCAGCTCCCCGCAGGGTTCCAGCGCGGCCCACCAGGAAGCTGGCAGCTGCTCCACGCGCCGCTGCCCACACCTATTTGAATCCCCTAGCGAGGGCAGGCCGCGGTCCCGGAGCTGGGGGCTCCGGGGGCACCCTGGTGAGTGACTCCAGGGAAGGCCATCCGGGCTTTTCGAGCACTTGAAAAGTTCGCGCGCCCGCAAGGGCAGGGAAAGTGCTGGTAAAACACTGCAAAGCTCCAGAAACTCAGCCAGGAGCCACAGTCTGATTTTGCTTTTCTTGACCGATAACATAATTGTGAGTAGAGGCAGCAGGGGCGTTGAGACGCCGGGATCCGGAGTACTTGGACCAAATCTGAGAACCCTACTAATTAGATAATTCCGTTCATCAGGAAGGCAGGCGACGATTCTCTGGGAAATGGGGAAGGGGTGGGGACGGAGGAGGTTTCCACATCCTTAAAGGAAATTCTCAGGCTGCCAGAGAAGCCCAAGTTTTTTTTGCATGACAAGTAGAGACCGGCTCTCCGGGGAGTTCCCCGCTCCGACCGAGCGAGTGCGCGGCCGCGATCTCCCCGCCCGGAGCGGCAGCCGCGGGGCCAGGCCCTGCCCTCCGGATCGCCTTCCTCCCCCGTCGCCCCGCGCGTCGCGCATCCCTCCCTCGCTCGCTGGCTCCAGACTGGTTTTTCTGGTTCAGCCTCCCTCCCTGGGACACGCTGGGGGATCCGATGACGTCGCTGGCTGAGTCTCTCCCTCTTCCTCCCTCCCTCCCACTGCCTCTCCCCCCGTCCGCCCTCGCCGCGCACTCCTCCTAGTAACTTCTGTTCGGGGAGGCGCTGCCAGGAATAACCCGGTGCGTCCACCGCCCGGGAGGGGAGGCGGCCGCTGCGGCTCCCGCACGCAGACAGCTGCGGCCCGGGCCTCGCGGCTCCAGCCTGAGCCCCGCGGCCCCGGCCCCGGGCCCATCTCCGTACAGTGTCAGAAAAATAAATAAAGGCAAGAGGAGCCTGGGCTGGCGGTCGGGATTTCTTCCCTCCCTCCGCGCCCGCCCTCCCTCTGTCCTTAAGGAAATGCTACCAGACACCCCCCACCAGACACGCTCAGCCTTGGCGAGGAGCGGCCGCCGCGGCAGCAAGAACAAGGGCACCAGGGGGGTTTCCTCCCCCTCCTCCTCTCCCTCCTCCTCCCTATCCTCCTCCTCAGCGGTGACTTTCCAGGTGAGCGGCCGCCGCGGCTGCGAGGATCCCCCTCGCCCTCTCGGGCTCGGGCCGCCGTGTCTCGCCCTCCTCCCGCCCCTGTCACCCGGCGGTGGCCCGGAGCTGACAGCCGCCCGAGGGGCTCGCGGCCCGGAGGCGGGCGGCCGGCGGGAGGCGGGCTGGAGGTGAGGGGGTGGAGAGGAGGAGAGCGGGGCGCAGCCGAGCGCCGTCGCTCCCCGGAGGAGGGTCTCCGCACAAACATCTTTGGTGACTGTGGCACAAGTCTTTGCCAAGTTGTGTCCTGGACCTTGACGTTCCCCGGAGCCCGGAGGAACTTGAAGGGTCTCCTGGCTCGTTCACAGTGTTCCTCCACGTCTCGCCTGTGGGGTGCTGGGTGCAGCCTCGGGGTGCGCGGAGGGCGGACCGGCCACTGGGAGAGCAGAGCGGCGGGAATCTAGGTCCCTCCTCGGCTCGGTAAGTGGCCTGGGAGCTGGGTTTTTTCTGCCTCCTTCGGCACTGGGAGCTTGTTTCACTTCACACTGGAATCGCCGCCGCCGAACTCCGTCCCCGGCCCCCTGGCGCGCGCCCTCAGCCCCTTCCTGGTGGCCGGAGGGTGAGGGTCGGAGGGGGCGGGGATGGGGAGACCGCGGGAGGGGGGTCGGGCGCGTGGGGAAATGCGGGGAATACCCTGGCCGCGGATCTATGCAGATGAGGGGAGGCTGCTTTGCGTAATGTCCTGGGGGGAGGGGGCCGCGCTGGAGCGCTGGAGGCAGGAATGTGCCTGCTTACTAATGAGCGACGTGCACCGGCGCGCACGGCCCGGCCACCGCTGCGGCTGCGGCGGCCGGCGGCAGCTTGCTGTCAGGTAGCGGGGGAGGGGGCCGCGGCGCGCGGCGCGGGCGGGCGGCGCGAGGCCCGGGCCGCCGGCCTGCGGCCGAGCGAGCGCAGGGAAGGCGCTGGCTCCGGGCATTTCAGTGACTCCCTTTACCTCCCGGGCAAGGAAGGAAGGAAGGAGCGAAGGAAGGAAGCGAGGAAGGAGGGGACTGTCTCGATGGAAGGTTCAGGCGGAGGCGCCCTCGCCTTGCGGGTGCACCGGTCGCAGAGCGGCTCTGGCCGCTGCCGGCTGGTCCCGGGCGCGTGGAGACCGGTGGGGGCGGTTTGCATGCGTGTTTGTCTGTGCGTCTGGCCGGGGATCGGGAAGGGACATGTGTGTTTGGGCTGTGCACTGTGGGGAGCTGGGTCTGCGCCTTTATGTCTGTTCCCTGAAGTGGGTGGAACGTTGGCCCGTTCCGGGAATGTTCCATGACGTGGTGCAGCCACAGGAAGGGGGTTAACGAGGGGCTCTGTGCCGCGGCGGCACTGCCGGCTGCTATCAAAGCAGATGTGCTGCTGCTGCTCCTCCTCCTCTTTCACCTCCTTTCACCCCCACCCCCCGCCTTTCCATTCCTTGCCTCTGGTACTGGTAGGGGTGAGACAGGAAAACATTGCTCTGGGTGTGTGTGTGTGTGTGTGTGTGTGCGCGCGCGCGCGTATGTGCGAGGGTGGGGGAGGGGGTGCTGATGTGCATGTGTGGGGTCTGTCGTATTTGGTGGAGGGTGGACTCCAGATCAGCTCTGCTACCCCAGCTGTTATCACAGATCGGTGCGCTTTATACGCATGTGCCTCCCGTGTTCTGTCTCTCTTACATAACACATCCAGTGCAGCAGAGGACAAGAGAAAATGCGACCCCAACCCTCCAAGCCCAAATTGGGTGAGGGGATAGAAGGTCAGGAAGCGTCCCTGGGTGTTGTTCTTCACCTGGTTGTTCCCCACCTGGTTCCCAGTGGGGGAAAGGAAGAAGGGTAGGAGGGTTTCTTCAAGTGGCTCCTCTCATCTCTGACTTAAAAGCATCTAACTAAAAAGGACTGCAGGCACTAGTCTCCCTAACGGGAAAGCTTGTAACCTGCTACGCCAAAAGAACGGGGGGCACTTTAACCTCGGGAGTACAGAGAAGAGAGCGGGTCCTTAATCAAGAGGCTTGGAGGAAAGGAGCAATAATGTGTGGGCGGATGGGGGCACTGGGGATGGCTTGGAGGAGACCGGAGGAATCTGTAGGTAATAGGTTTCACTGGAGGCCTTAGGACACCTGTAATGGCTTAGCATTCACATAGGAAGCTGTGTGTGCAACTGATACTGCAAAACCCATATTCTCTGCAGTTACTTAGGCCTAAAATGATATAGAAAGGCTTGTGTCCTGTATTTTTATTATAATGGAAAATTTGAACAGATTTTTCTCCTTCCTTTTCTGCCATTTTAAAAATAACTCAATTTGTCCCCAAATGAATGTTGGTGCTTGCCCCCAACCTTAAGGCTAGATCTCAGTAATTCACAAGAAAACTGTGTTCTTCTAGCATACCCAAAGCCCTAGTCAAGGGCTATTGATTTTTCTCTTCAGTACAGTTGTTTCTTTTGTAGTGCATAATCAAGCCCAGAAATTACTTGAAATATTAATAAGATCCATTTTAATTAAATTTGCAATGATCTGTCCTCCTAGAAAAAGGCCATTTAACTTTATTAGAAACGTTTCCTCCAGTGATACAGTAATATTTGGTGATGTTTGTCCTTGAGCAAACCAAGTTATTTTAAATATTTACACTCATGTTTGCTACATATGTAGCAAATGCCTCATTGCTTTTTCACCTTATAAGAGTGCCAAAAGCAGATTTTTATCAAAGTGGATTGTGGAATGAGTAGATTGGTTTGAATTTTAGGGTATAGGCCACATAGCTTATCAGAACAGAAATGCCCTTTCTGTGAGTAAAGTGGGTATCATTTTCATTATTAAGAGAAAATTATCTGTGGAACCCTAAGGAGTCATGGTACCAGATGACAACTGTACATTTTCATTGTGAGCTGAAAGGGATTTACCAGCGTTGACTTGATGATAGTGTTTGTTTCAAGTGTCATAATCCTTTTTGACCACTAGGTTTGAAACATGCAGTGTATTTCTTATATACAGAAAAGTATTACATTACAATGATGAATGTTTTGAACATTGTCTGAGACAATTTCTTGTGTGGAGCTTAGGTCGGGTATAAAACAATTTGCTTATTGGCGTCTATTTCTGTTACAGTGATTGTATTCTATGTGGCTATTAGAGACGGCTTATATTTATACAAGGATATTTAAGAATAAATTGATGTGTGATTGATTTGGGGACAATTTTGGGAATGGTGGTATATTAATGATCTTACAAATTTAAGATCTAACTGATTTTTAATTGGTTAGATCCTTGTAGAGGTGTTTGGTAAAATACTGCTGAAGTACATAAAACATTTGTATATTCCTATTAAACATGGAATGTGAAAAATTTACTGTATCATCACATTGGAAAATAATGCTCTTTGATAACATTGAAAGCTTAACTAGCAGAATATTTTGATTGATCAGGCTCCTTTGCATGAGATGTGTTTGTGAATGTTCTTGTTACCATGAGAACAAAACAGAGGACAGTATATGTGGAGACGTTCCTTGTGGTATAGTGGTGCATGTGTCTGCTTGAACTTTTGGCAGTTCGTCACTATTCAGAAAATCAGGTTAACTCTTTTATGCTGATTTAATTTAAAATGAAAAATCTTATTCCAAAATTTGCCATTTTTTTTCAAAGCAGGGGTCATTTTAACAGCAGCAATAACAAATAACTCTGTGTTGTACGCTGGCATTGGGTTTCAGTTTTTGAATTATAACAAATATGCTATTTGTGTTGAGTTTCAGTTTTTATAATTAGCTGAAGTCCATTTGCAAGATTCACATAGGAAAAGTAGTTTTACAGAGTGATAGAAAACGTTCATTGACATGAGTGAAAGTATAACCCATTAGGATGTAAAGTAATTCAGTAACTGATGTGGTAATTATTATCATAAGGGAATAGTGAACTGAATGTATGGCTGAGGATCACACAGGCTGCTCATCTTCTATTTGTTAAAAATAAACACTGTTTTCACATTGTGGTATGTGACCAGCATCAGTAGAACTCTGCCTATACATTAGTTCTGTAGGTGGAAAAATGATTCACAGTTTAAACAGCTACTTGAAAATTTTAAGGATATGCTTCCAGTTCATATGCGAATTCATCATGAATTCATATTTTGGCTAAAACTTGGTATTTAACTGTTACAACTTTTAAAATATTATACAAAGGAGCAGAAGAAGTTTCTAACTCAACTTAATGCAATTCAATTTTCTTAAGGAACTTCAAACCATCCAGAGTGTATGGATTTGCTTGAACCATTCAGGCAGAGTCCTTATTAATATGGAGCTAAACTTTACTGAGTATTCAGGTGAGATCTGTACTGTAAAACCTGTAGGATTTACCATGTTTGAAGCTGTGGATGAACCCAGAGGATGAAAGGAAAATAGGAAAACTTTATGAAAATAAAATTATGCTGATTTTAAAGTAATTGAGAAATAATATTTTCTCTTTGTTCCTCGTGTTTGGTCACAATTAAAAGCGTTGCTTTCTGTATAATATTTATGGCAATGCTTATGAAAAAGAGGTTGTAAACCAGTATTTGTAGCTATGAGCTGCCGTAAACTAATTTTGGAAAATATTTTAGTACTTTATTATTGTGTCACAACTCCGAAATCATCGTGCGAAAGAAGGTAACATAGCTTTCTTGGTCTGTGCAATCTTTGGCTTCTCTGAGATGGACCATGCATATCAACATTAGGCCTAAACTGGCTTCATGGCTGCATTTAGAATAGAGTCAGAACTGCCTGATAGTTGGGCTGAATTTGTGCTATCTTAATATATGTTCCCATTACTCATCATGTGAGGTATTATCTATGGCATGTGCTCTATTCTACAAGTGTCTATAACTTTAGATTTCCAACCAGCTTAAAATTGGAGGTCTAATTGTTTAGATCTATTTAAGAAAGAGCTTTGGAGAGAAGAAGAGATGAATATGATGTTTGCGTGCCTGAGGGTGATTCTGGGCAGAAAACAGAGGGGGTCTGACTGGACACTTCTGGGTCACAGGGTGATGGAAGTAAGTTCTGGAAGCACCAAGAGCCAATCTTTTGCTTGTCACTCACGTATAATCTTAATCCTCTATCCAGAGTACTATGACTGGTGCCCTATTACTGTTGGTGAATGCAATTCACTCTTTCATTCATTCAACAAGTATTTCCTGTAGATTAGACCTTGTGCTAGATACCCAGGGTATAATCATGACCCAAACCACAAAAGGAGCTCCTTTCCAGAAGCTGAAAACAAGCCAGTGGGGCTGATAACAAGAGAAAGGTAATGTGGGGCCTTGAAGGAATGTTGACCACAGGGCTGATTATCCAACCTGGCACATATGAGGACTGCTTTTGGCAAATCAGAGCACATGGTGACCCTCCAAATCACCATGTTACAGGCTGATCCATGGAAAGGCAGAGCCTTGAAGTTGAAGAACCTGGTGTGTGAAATCTGTCTCTTCCCAGTGCTTCCACATCAGCTGTGTTGGAGCACCTGGAAATTTTTAATGGCTCTATATGTAATGACTTCAGTTTGAAGGACTTATGTGTGGATTAACTATTATTATTTGCAGATTCTTTTTAATAACAAAGAATTTAAGTTCTAAAAATACTTATTTGGCACTCCAGTTAACAAAAAATGGCCAGCATCATTGATTCAATTAATAAATAACTACCAATTCAGAAGTCTTTACAAGGTCTCTGTGTGAAGTAACCAATTAATCTTTGGAGCCCTGTGTGATCTGGATCTGTATGTTTTCAAATAACTAGCAAAGGACTGAAACATTCAATTCTCCTAATAATTTCTCCTCATGATTGCAAATATCAGGATCTTTGGAGAAATTTAGATCTGATTTCTTACTTTCCATGTGATTAGAGGTCTGTGTGACATGTCAGTATGAAGCAAAAGAGTAGAAACAGGTTAGTGAAAGTCATTTTCCTTTATTTTATGCATTGCATCATTTGATTACTGTTTTTTTCTGTTTTATAGTCTATGTAATATAGGAAATTCAATTTAGGTGACAAAAAGAGTCTATTTTATGCAGTAGTTCCAAGCTTGGGCTCTGCAGTCAGACTGAGAGTCAGAATGAGTAACAGAGATAAAAGGATGATGATTTCCAACTTCAAACATTTTACAATCTAGAAGAG